CAAGACCTGAATAGCCTGGAAGACGATTGATGTTGCTTGCAGATCCAAAGTTAAACTTTCCACAGTATAAGAATGTAAAGAACTTAATATTTTCATATCAAAAAAATATGATTTGGGAAGCTCTGATTTCAAAACCTTATCACTAATAAATCCATCTCATCTTAATCGTTAGCTATTACCTCTAATTTGACACTTACCATGATTAAATTTACCTTCATGATCAATAGCAAGGGGTGTGCGATAGATTTACCTCCACGTGGTGCACCCCGGGCAACGTATACTCATACGGCAAAAAAGTCTATTAACCGGCAATTGACTTCAAACTACCATAACCCCACTGTATGATATATTCGACCACTTCCACAGTACTACATCACATTTTTTCTAAATTTTCAGCCTTCGTCTTTGAAACACTCTTCTGTTCCCCTCCTCTCGACTTTTTTTCACTTTGATGTTCCTTCCCCTCTGTGAAGCCTGAAGTCAACTAAAGGGCTAATAATAACCATCAAAACGCCTGCCATTTAATATAAATAAATAAATGATCAATAGCAATAACTTAATAGAACATACTCCTAGCAGATTTTGGGGTTGCATCAAGATTGGAAAATGCTGGAGACGTAGGTGGAATATCCGGGAATTCAATTCCATTATTCAAGGTGTTAATGAAATGTTTAACTTGGGAATTGACTCCTGGAACCTGAAAATCAAAGTAAGCTAAAGTAGGAATCCAACGAAAATGAACGCCAGAATACAAAGGATGACCACCTACCCTGTAGATACCCTCAATTGCAAGGCCATACTTCTCCACAAAATCAATTAAGTAGCGAAAGAAGGCCGGTAAAGGAATTCCATCATGACTGGGATTTCTTTCCAATGCAGTCTCAAGCGATACTCCAATTAACGTCTGCAAAACAAAAACAAATATGCAACATCATGGATGCTTATATTAAATCAGTAGTGTGGACTATTTAGATTTTCTCACTCTATCTACAATGGGTTCAGTGGATATAGGTTCACCACATTTCTTTTTGTGCTTCTTCTTCAGTTTCTTCTTTTTGTTGGTAACTTTGAGGGGAAATTCAAGAACACCTGCTGCCTCCTCAATTTTCTTCATCGCCTTGCTTTTAGCCTTCTCATCATCGATTTGATTTTTAACATTAGACTTAGATTGCTTCAATTTTTTGACCTTTTTTTCGGCATGGTTTGAAATTTGGACTTTGCTAGACTTGTCAACTTGACGATCTGAAAAAAGAGACGTCTCTTCCGGCGGTGAAAAAGAATGAGGAAGCTCATCTCCAATGGTGGGCGTGGACAAGCGAAGGGGCTCCTTACGACTACGGTTCTTTTTGCTAGTGGGAAGGCGAAATACAGCAGCCATAGGTTTCTTCGACGAAGAATGCGAGGGTTCAGGTTCTTCAATCACCTTTAAAATATGAGATAATTCAAAGCTATAATAAAAGTAAGACCAGTTTTAAAAAAACTAAGTATTTGTAAGAGACTTAGTCAAACTCCCGTTATGGGAAGAAAGAAAAGTATGAAATTAAAATTTCTCATAATTTTAGCATCATATTACCAATTTACAGAAGGAAACACGAAAAGGCGAAGATGACAGGAAAATAAAGGACGACATTCCATATAAAAACGGAAGAGTTTGCATAAATTCGTTTCCCACAAGCCATGTACTATGTCCATCACTCTCCTAATACTGATTCCTTGTTACGATTCAGTACCTTATCAATATCGACTGAAATATCGAGGTTAAAAAGTCTGAATTTCATGTAAAAATTGATGTTGAATCAATGATGTACGACCTATAGCCTATTTAAGTCAGAGATTAAATGGGTATTCCTCATAATACATTCTAAAACGAAACGAGAATTGGAGAATAAGTTCTTCTCAAGAACAATGCCAATTAATGAATAGTAATACTAACATAAAAAACTTACAATTCTGAAAAATACCCCAAAATGCTGGCAAAAATCCGCTTATATATGTAAAAAATTAGCCTAAATTACAGACATTTCATTTAAACGTATTAAATTAAATTACCAACATCATAGAAAATGAGACAGTAGCGTTTTTTTGCAAAATGTGTTTGAATTTGAAAAGAAATACAGGCGATTCACACGAGAGAGTGTGTGTACGACGAAGGCAAATCAAACGAGGTTGAGATTCAATTTCTAAAGTTTTAAAATTAGGATATAATAAAGCAAATTTAACCCGCTGAGAACATGAGTGAAACAATGCCTACATATTTCAAAAAAGGACGGAATTTGATTACCTTAATCTATCAGCCAACTCTTCTTGAACAATTTGGACTTGTATAAAAAACTTAACAACTCGGTAACAGTTTAACCATTTGCATTAAAAACATACAGGAATTAGTTGCGTTCCAAAATCATTTAAAAGAAGATCGCCAAATAGATACGTACAAAACGCCAGTCAGTAAGAAACCGCAAATACATTATAGAGAGCAGGTAAATTATGAAAATTTCATATGATAGTATTAAATATGGTTCACACTAAAGTAGCACATAAAAAATGTATATGTTATAAGAATATAATTAAATTTAAAATCATTAATGAGAAAAACAGAATAATTCATTCTAAAGGCAAGCAAGCTAATGTATATGGATTAAAATTTCCAGAAAAAAATGTCAAATTAAATAGAGAGCAGTAAATAGTTTACACGTAATCAAATTAAACTTGAGACATTAAAATTAACTCTCAGCATACACTGCACAAAGGAGCATCATCTTCCATGAGAAGGTTATTTTCCTCAGGTGTGCCATCTCGAATAGAGGAAGGATCGAAAACCATATCGGGCATGGCAGGCAACTCGTCGTCTGAATGGGCGTTAGCTAAGCACTCTCCGGGAAGAAAACTGGCATCATTCACCGCAGAACCAGAAGCCAACCAAAAATGTTCGCTTTTAGGGCTCTCAGATATTGGAGTTTCATTTGATTTCTTGAACTTATCCATCGTTAACTTGAGAAAGAAAGTAGAGCGGCATAAATGGTAATTAATTAAAAAAGCCAAAATGGCGAAGAGAATAACAGACGCTGCTTAGAATATTTAAATGCTAAAAACGATGAGTTTAGTAAGAAACTGGCAGTACCACAAGGCCATTGGCACTCATAAAAATCGCCTATCTTCCTAATGATAATCTGATGTATTAAAAAACTCTTGCTGTTAGTTAAAAAAATAAATTAAGAAAAAAAGTTTCTTTAAATCATTAGAATTGAAAATTTTAACTCTGCTTTTACAAACATAAGTTTTATTAAGCAAACGAGAGTACAAAGCCAATGAAACTTTGCAATTATGGAGTTGGGAAGTTTAAAATGAAATTGTGAAATATATCAAGCCGAAAAAGTGATTATTATTTATCGGTGAACCAACTAATTAAAGCAAATTAGCATTATTGCTGTCTGAAATCTAAAACAATTGATATGTATTTCCATGACTATTTTTCGGCAATGACAAAAGACAAGCGGTTTCTTGCGACAAATGAGGGTAAGCGGTATCTGCCAGAAAAATTTTTCTCTACATAGAATTAGTTGCATTTCTATTTAAATTTTCTTTTGCTAAGTTTTCCTTTCCACTAAATAGATTTCTTTCCATTAGCACATTGAGGTGAGCGATAGGTTAAAATCCATGTAATGTACTTTGGGCAACAAAAAGTCCACAAACTGTCATTTGAATTCAAACTACTATGACTTCACTGTATGTCACATTCCATCAATTCCGCATTAGTCCCCTTTTTATTTATTTTTCTGTGTGCATCATTTACACATTTGAATCACTCCTCTGTACCACCTTTCCACTTATTTGTGACTTTGGTGTTCCTCCTCTTTGTGAAGCTGAAGTTAACTAAAGGGCTAATGATAACTATCATAATGAATGTCGTTTTGGGAAAAATAAATAATCACTAACTCTGCAAATATTGTAGAAGTAAATGTTAACATGTCGAACGAAAATTGAAACCTATTTTAACAAATATTTTTGGGGCATTTAGTATTATGGTATTATCATTGTGTATTTGCCAATGATATAAATAAGAGATAAACAGAAGAATGGAATATGTAACCCTCTTGATGGAAGGTAGATGGAGTTGATAATTGGACAAATATACTGAAACTTATGAATTCTCTTATAATAAAACAGTTTTACTTATATCTACTTTAGTAATAAGCTTCAAAGTAATTTAAAATACAAAGAAAAGTTAAAAAAAGTTTAGGCTGTTCTCGTACATATTCATATTCCCAATTAGAAAGTTAAGATCAGTTTTGCCCCTATGCTAATGGTTAATTGAAAGAGCTAAATGCAACTTAGAGATTGTTAAAAATCGAAAATTCAGGAAATTAAGTACTTAAAAGGTAGAACTATGTATTGCATCAAAGGAATAATATTCATTGATGCACTAAGAATAAAATAACGAGATTCTTAGCATGTATTAACTATGGCCGCGAAGTTGCCTTATGATTAGTAGTAATTAAAGAAATGAAAAATTGAGAAGGCAACAATAAGCACGTTTCAGAGGATTTTGGAATAAGCTGCAAAATTCATTATCGAACAATGATTTAAAAAACAGACAAAAATTAACTAAGGTTAATAAAATTTATTAATATTTTGAATTTTTAAAATATGGCAATCGAAATAATCATCTTCTTGCAGCTTCGTGATTCAGCGCTTTTCTTTGAATAGATTTGTTTGAGTGGATATATATCCTCTCTTCCTCGGTTTGCATTTCTCTGCACAGTTCGTATTTAAATTGTAAGTCTGGGCGGTAATTCGATTTATTTTGAATTTGAAATTTGTTCAAATGGTTTAAATTTGAAACCTTCACATATTCCGCTACATTATTTGTGTTAGAGTTGAGTGTTTTTCTTTTTAAATGGCTCACCTCCAAGTAGAAAATTTCAATCTGATGTGGCTGTCCATTTGTATGTTTGTTGCATTTCAGTGAAATTATGCTATTCTTTCAGAATTATGTTACCTCAACAAGGAAATATAAAGGTCGTCGGTACTCCGAAGTCTGGTTTTCCTTCAAACGTTGTGCAAGTTCTTCAGGCTCGTCCTGGACCTAGTGGCACAACTGTTTATCAAGCTCGACCATCTCCAGTTCCAGTTCAATCACTAATAACAAACCAGTCTATTCCGATCAATACAAATACAGCTGCGCAGTATGCCCGTAAACCTCAGGAGATGACGAGTAATCCAACAAAGTTTGATAATTATTCATTTTGGGAAGAGTTAATTCTTCATTCACCTTTTTATATTTTAGTTGTTACTCCGAGTGGAACTTATATGGCTAGCCCTTTGCAAGGTCAACAATTCGGTCAGGTTGTGAATATCGGCCAAGGAAATGTTGGTCTCGCTCAAACACTGATTGGAGCCCCTGGGGTTGGTTTAGCTCCTCAATCAGGTTCTGGGACTCCTCAAGCAGGAAATAATCTCGCCAACTCAAGGAAACCCTGCAATTGCACGAAGTCTCATTGTCTTAAGCTTTACTGTGAGTGCTTTGCACAGGGTCAACTCTGTCAAAATTGTAATTGCAATCACTGCATGAATAACCTTGCCTATGAGGAAGAACGTGGTAGAGCAATTAAAATGACGTTGGAGAGAAATCCAACTGCTTTTCATCCCAAAATTGGTCGTGGAGAGGGTGAGAGAAAGCACACTAAGGGCTGCAACTGCAAAAGAAGCGGTTGTCTTAAGAATTACTGTGAGTGTTATGAGGCAAAAATCAGCTGTTCGGATTTGTGTCGTTGTCTTGGTTGTCGTAATACTGAGGATAGTATTGAAAGAAGGTCTCTTATGCGTTTGGCTGCTATGGGATCACTTCGGTCTAGGCAACCAAATGCTTTCAGGAAACATCTTGTGAAGCCTCCCTCTGAAACGTAAGCTGTGGTTTCGTTTGAGTATTCATAATTTTTGAAGTATGCTTTGCTTATTCGCGCCTGTCTCTTTCTAGCATGCCGCATGCTTTTATATCTTGGGAGACCATTGAAGCTACCGCGAGCTGTCTACTTGCTCAAGCTGAGGATGCCGAAAGGCGGGAGTTACCACAGGCTTCACAAGAGCGTCTGATTATTGAGGAATTTAGTCGAACTTTGGATCGTATTGTTGATGCAACTAGCAAGGTTATTTTCTCTTATTTGTTTTTTTGGCTTATTGATGTTAATTCGCTATGTTCCTCTTCACTTAGTGCCTCTTTTGTCTTATATCACGTTACACTTGTCCTTTTGTTTCCAATTAGTTTGATTTTGTGCCCACTTCATTTTTGTCTTTATACGTGTCTGCATTCTTTTGTCGTTATTTCACTGAAAAGTAGGGAATCAGAAATTAATTTTACCTAGGATATCCTCTTACTCTAACTCTACCTTATTTTCAATGTCACATTTTTTGCAATCATGTGTTTGTTATGTGTAATCCTCCGACCAGATTAAATGCACAGTTTTGGAAGTGCCGATGTTTTTTTCTCTTCTAGTCTTTATTTCGTTTGTATTTTAAAGCATCCGATTAAGCCATGGCTTATTCATTGTTCTTATGGCAATTTTGAATTAAAGGCTCGATTTTGTAAGTCGATAGTTGGTTTTAAAGCCGTTTTCATTGATAAAAGGTCATGATTGTTTTTATTTTCTCTCGTAAATGGTCATTCTTGTTGATTGGTGCTCACCTTAAAAGAGTCCGAATTTGGATGGCTTTATTGACCTTTTTGTAACAAGCGTGTTATTGATTTACATGCTAATATCTCATATTCATTATCTTAGGCTCAACTTCGCTCGAACACCTCTATCGTTCCTACAGGATCAGTTCTCTCAGATGACATGGTGGGAGGATTGGGTTCTAGAGGTGGAAACGGAGGTCTAGGAGGCATCTCTTCCATTCATCATTCATCTCACCGCCATCATGGCAACGATGACGACGATTTGGTTGGTGAAGACGATGGTGATGATGACTTCCAAGATGTTTCAGAGCAGCCACATGGGGTTGGCGCCGAAGATGGCACTGAATGCTTTGATGAGGAAGAGGGAGATCCAGATGACCTGGACATGCTTGATCGCCATCACTATCAAAGAAGATCACACCAAGGAGGGGAGTCGTCGGGTTCCGGAAAAATGCCATCTGTGAAATTTATTTCACGATCTGGTACCAGCGGACGTTCATCGTATTATTCAAGGAAAGATCTCCTATGAATCAACTACCCTAATCACAATCAATTCTTTTGCCTCCTCGTCCCTTCTTGTACTAGATATTTCCTCGGCATACCTGTACAGTTTAAATTTATGTGTGAAATTTTGGTATTGATATCATTATTTGTACAATATTTTGACTTATTTTTTATTGAAATTTATCCGCTTTAAAGTTTTAATTTGGAGATGACAGGTTGTGGTACTATTGCCTATCAGTGCACACACCAGTGACGTGGACGGTCAGACGTATTGGTTTTAATTCTGGTCATCAGGAGGCGTGGCAGGACATGAGTTTCTTTTTGGGCTTATTCCCGTATGCTCATCCTCTACCTATGTCAAATGAATTGGCTGATGGTTATTATTGAGAGATCGGGGTTGGTGCTTCTTCGACTGGGATTCACCAAACATTTCTGTTTTAAGAACTTGTGTGGCTTGGCTAGGACAAGTTAAACCTCGTGAATTGACTTCCCAACGCTTATTCGAAATAGTACCTCGAGAAATTATTTGTTTTTTTCTCTATTCCTTTTATTATCCGGTGCGATTGTTTACTGCTCTCTCTGTGTTTCCACTGACCGACTTCTTTAATTGCCGAGTTTTCTATGTAAATATACTGTTAACAGAGCTCTGCTTAATTCTACTTATTCATTGGTTTCTGCTGAACTGGGAAAATTTTCAGAATTAATTTCAATGTATTTGTAATTCTTATCTAAACTTGGGGTTTTATAGTGGCTCAGGCGATGTACCTCGTATGAAATAGTCTGCTTGATTTATTTTACGTAAAACCCTTTATTTCTTCCAGAGAACTTTCAACATTTGACCTTGGTGAAGAGCAATAGTCCAAACACCTCTCCTGTGATAGATCCAGACTGTGTAGTAAGCCGCTTACTTGTCAGGCGTCGATCTCGTAATTTCTGAGCAGATGTTTGCTTTAAACAATAGCGGATATTAGTTACTATTTAGCCACGATGAAGAAAAAAATAGCTGTCTTTACCTTGATAGTTTACCTGAGAGGTAGGAAAACAGGTTGGTTCAATAGGATGTGTAAAGGTAAAAGGTCAAGTAATTGTAGGCTTCAAGAATTTTGCTTTATTCGATGTGCTGTGCAAATGGGTGATCTTCCAGCATTTATACTCCACTTGTTAGCTCCCAATTTCACGAATTCGATGATGATCAAGTCCTTTAATATTTCGCGTCCGTCATTTGTTGTCAGTGGTCACGAGTTTTGGTTCCCACTGGTGTACACCCAGTGAGTAGAAAGGAACAATATCCCCTCATTTGTTATTTATGGCCTATCATTATCGAGGGCTGATGGAAGGGATTTGCATAGATCGTGTAAGCAATACTGAATTAGTAAGGCTTATTTTTACTGCACTCTCTGATTTGCTCATATTACAGGTGCCTTAGTAAATTTAAACTCCAATTTGATACATTGTTAACTTTTAAGCACATAAAGTGGTAGAATGTCCTTAGAAGATGAGAGTGTTGATTGAAGACATGGAAAAATCGATCTGATACTGCAGAAATAAGCCATGACTTAACCTTACCAAACCGGCAAAATTTTATAGAATAAAATTACTTCCGAAAGTATTTAAGTTAGGAGGAATAGCACCTATGACGTGAAAAGTTTTTATAGCATATTTTAGCCAATCGCACACGTGCTCAACAATTAAATACAATCAATGTAATTACATGTTGTATCAACTCGATTGCTCATTGGCTGAGAAGTGATTGCACGCACGAGTCACTTGCAGAGTCTTCTATGACGAATAGAATCACTTTGATCGGCTTTAATAGTGGTGTGTATTTCACATTACTCATCTTCTAGAACGCGAGATGTGCGATAGACTTACCTCCTCGTGGTGAACCCTGACAACGTATATTCATAAGGCAAAAAGTTTGTTAAACGGCAGTTGACTTCTCACTTCAAACTACCTTCACCCCACTGTATGTCATATTCGACTACTTCCATAGTACTCGCCTCACCTTTCCCTCTACCTTGGTGACAGTCTTTTCATCATCTTTGAAACGCTCTTCCCCCCCCCCTTCCTCTATACTTTTTGTCACTTTGATGTGCCATTTAATATAAATAAATAAATATTCTAGAGCTCTGTTAGGTAGCTAAACACAGGGTGGCAATGCTCAATAATTAGCCGGTCTATATTTTCTTCTAGTCAAAAAGCGAAGGCAATTCGTCGTCCACAGTGAATGCGAGAAACTT